TATATATATATGGTTCTCCCTGGGCCTCCGTGGGTTTTCTCCGGGTTCTCTGGTTTCCTCCCACATTCCAAAAACATGCATGGCAGGCTGATTAAACACTCTGAATTGTCCCTAGGTGTGAATGTGAGCGCGGACGGTTGTTTGTCTCTGTGTGCCCTGCGATTGCCTGGCAAACGGTTCAGGGTGTCCTCCGCCTCCTGCCCAAAGATGTCCGGGTTAGGCTCCAGCATGACCCTTGTGAGCATAAGCGAATCAGAAAATGGATGGATGGATGGATGGATGCAGAAGTGTAAACCACTTCTATTGTATTTTCTGACATCTAAAATTATATCCTAGGCAGGCTCCCACTTGGGAATTGAAACTGGGCAACTACAGCTTCAGTGATAATTTTACAGTTTGAGCCCTGCGAGTCCCAGGGACTCGCTGATCAGAAAAGTCCCATGATGCACTGAGAGAGTCCCAAATTTTGCATTCTGAAATGGTCTACTTATTCAATTTGCATATGATAATAACACAAACAACAACAATATACATTAATAATAGGTTTATTTCTTATAAACAAATGCTGCAAAAATTTAAATAATTCAGGCATACAAGATTTGCTGAGAAATAGGTTCTTATTTCATCCCGTGGTTGAGTCTTTGAGCTCATAAATTCTCCTCTCTTTACTCTGCTTCCAATGATGCAAGGCTTTCTCAAAGTCAACTTATCGCAAAAAACTATCCAACTTTAGCTGCGTCCTCTGTGATATCTCTGCAATAAAGTTTCGCAACACTTGTTCGAAACACGTGTTTTAATGTTACACAGCTTGGCAATCGTCACGTCACGTGAGATTACTTAACGCGAGATCAAAACAACAATGGAGACGATTGTCAAGCTGCAATCGTTGCTGGAAAAAAAGATGTACCTTTTTTTTTTTTTTTTTTTGGACAGAGAAATTCCCGTGCGTCCCAAAAACGCACATTATTTGGAACTGTGCGTCCCGCGGTAAAATTATTATGCGTCTACGACGCGGGACGCAGAGGTAACGAGATGGCTCCAGCTTCACAATTGGGCTAATTTAGAATGGTTTTCTTTCCAGACACTGATATCAGCAGTTCAGACTGAAGGAACTTTCATTCACAGTAAAGGCTTTCAGATTTCTCTATTGCGGTTTTTCATACAATCACAAAATACTTGCTGTTGTGTCCGTGCTGCTTTTCATGGTTATAGATGATTCGGGTGAAGGTTTGGAAAGCGTGACTTCAAAAAAAGGATGTTTTGCTGAGTGTAAGTAAGTAAAGGATGCTTGAATTAGGGCAGGGGCCCCCAACCTTTTTTGCCCCACGGACCGGTTTATGTCAGACAATATTTTCAGGGACCGGCATTTAAGGTGTGGCGGAAATAATACAACGAAGTAATATGGTATGAGCTGCATGAAAACTGTGGCGTTTTCGAAATATAATAATAAACACAAGGAGCGTCTAATCTGGCCGCAACACTCCGATCGCTATGGCAATGTTTAATGCCTTCAAAATACCATACAACGCAAATTCAAAGTGCATGAAAATGACGACTGAATACTTGCTGTTGTGTCCGTGCTGCTTTTCATGGTTATAGATGATTCGGGGTGAAGGTTTCGAAAGCGTGACTTTAAAAAAGGATGTTTTGCTGAGTGTAAATGAGAGACTGTTTGCATTGGGGTGTGATTGAGGAAGAGGGGGTTGCCAAGGTGCCACAAGCAAGGGGGGACCCCGGCCGGACCCCTGGACTGGAGATCACAATCGACACTTAAAGGGGCCCCACAGCAGGACAACCACTTCCAACAACAAAAGACGGCCAAATGTGGAAGATCTTATCCACATCAAAGGAAGATTCACAATAGAATGGCAATTCACACCTAATCTGACAGATGCAGTTGATAACACCCAGACTGTCCTCGCAGACCATTTGCCCATGCCTGAACACACACACACACACACACACACACACACACACAAAGAGAGGCACACCCTTTATGGGGAATTGTATTAAAGCCACCTTATCTATATCTATATTTATATTGCACTTAATTGAACGGTGTACATTATTTTGTGAATGCAAACACTTTGTTTTTCTTCTTTCTTCTTTCTACCCACAATCTTGCTGCTGTAGACTGTAAATTTCCCCAGTGTGGGACAAATAAAGGATAT